TCTATATCATTCTCAATGGTGTACCTACAAAGAAAAAGGTCATTTGGCGCTCTCTTATTGACATGGCTTCCCTCAAAGCAGCCATTACGAAATTAAAAGACATTAACTGGCTATATGCATCCGTTGATGATGATTCTCCTGACAAAACTGCTAAAAAAGTCCTTGAATTGTCAAATGATACCACTAGTACTTTAGTTGAAGAAGCTACCAAAGAAGACATTGCTTAATTTCAATTGTACACAATTCGACAATTGGATAATCAATTAAGTATAGAATTTGATATTTTTCAGTATAAGATGAATAAAATTAGAGAAAATCCTTTAGACAACTGAGAAAAACACTTGATGTCATGTGTTTTCCTACTCTTTTTCCAACTGGGAATTTTGGTGCCAATTATTCTCATACAGTTAAACTTACTAATGCAGAGTATATTAAATCTCGACTTCTTAATGTTGACTCGAGGTATAGGAAGAACCCAGCCTATGTCTTCCTTTTATTACGGGAGAAAGAATTAAGGGAGCTGAAAAGTGGCATATACAACACACTAAGAATAAGCAGTCAAACATGTATGCTAACTATGCTCAACAATGCAGACAGAGAATTGGAAGCGAGTTTATGTACTGCACTCCAGTCTGTTCCTGGCACTAAGCAATTCCGGTTTAAACGTAAAGGAGATGTTGACTGTATAAGAGAGTTTGGCTCTCCCACTTTCTTTTGCACTTTTAGCTGTGCTGAGTATGAATCTCCTCACATTCTTGAATATTTGAGGAAAATCAATGATGTCCCTGACTCGTACGACAATGGCAGATTATGCACTGAAGATCCTATTTCTGTATCTCGCCAGTTTTCACAAAAATTTCATGAATTTATTTCAATCTTTGTTAAGAAGGGTCAAGGTTTAAGGCAAGTAGAACACTTTTTTGGAAAAAAGAGTACCATCAACGTGGTGCTCCACATTATCACGTCCTTCTTTGGATAAGGGATGATCCTAAAATGGGTCAGGACAAACCTGAAGATGTCATAGCATTTATTGACAGGTACATTACCTTTCACATTCCTAATCATAATACTTGCCCAGAATTACATATGGCAGTTATGTCCAAACAATTGCATAAATGTAGTGCCTACTGCAAAAAGAAATACAAATCTGGTGGTCACTATTTTCAAAGATGTAAATATGGCTTCCCATGCCCTGTAACATCAAAAACAACACTAAAAGATGTTACCAAAAATCTCAAAGCTCATCAAAAAATATATGATTTAAAATGCCATGAGGCTGAAACCAGAGTTAATGATTTTAATCCACTGCTGCTACTACGATGGGGAGCAAATATTAATGTCCAATACATTAATGAAACGTCACTTGCTTTAGCAAATTATGTGACTTCTTATGTCACAAAAGCAACAAAAGCCACATGCAGGACTTGTGGCAGGAAATAAGTGAAACCAGAAGTGTATTCAGTTGACTGTGGAGCTTTGGCCTCAGGTGTATTCGTTCTAGAGGAAGTGGTGTGTATGAGGCAAGTGACATGCTTTTGAGAGACCATCTTTGCAAAAAATCTGATACTGTTCAATGGATCAATGTGTCTATGTCTCAAAACAGGAGGCACATACTCATCACATATGCAGATCTACAGGCTCTTGCTGAAAATGATCCATCAACTCACAATATCTATTGCAACAATAAACGTGATACATATTATCCTCAGAGACCAGCACGTCTTGATGACATGTGTCTTTATGATTTTGCAGCCCACATTGATTTCTATCACAAAGACGAATCAGGAATGAGAACTTTCAAAACATTAAGAAAGCCACGTCTTCCTAATCATTGGTTATATGACCCAAGAAAGGAGGATAAAAAAGAGAAATACTACTATTCTCTAATACTCCTTTTGTACCCTTTAGAGATGAGCCTTCCCTCATAACAGATGTTAAAACTGCAGAAAAAGCATTTGATTGCTTAATAGCATCCAATGACAATGCTTCTTTTCATCATGAAAAACTGCAACAAATGTTGCGATGTAGAACTCTCATTACAGAAATAGACAAAGCAAAAGATGCTTGTTGGGTCCAGCCAGATGAAGATATAGGCCCTACTGTTTGTGGTGAAGCAATCTCTGCTATGTAAGATGTTGCAAATCGTATATTGATACTGGTCTCAGTCTTGAAGAATGTGACGCTATGCTAAATGCTGATCAAAGGCTTTTTTTTGACAGCATAAAAAGGCATTTACTTCATCAAAGCGATCATGAACAAGCAAAATGTTCATGTCATAACATGAGACCACTAAGCATGTTTGTTAGTGGTGTGGAGGAACAGAAAAGTCCTTT